GTGATGAATGCCCTTGTACTTTTCACCATGTAAGAATTTATTCACTATGTAAGAATTCGTTCACCATGTAAGAACTTGTTGGTTATGCTTCAGAAGATTGGAGACTGACGAGAATTAGACTTGAGATGGATTAATGATTGTACATTGAGCATTGACCTCCCTATACTGAATTTTATTGTTGTTAACAACCATTTGATCAATAAATATGAGAGATGCCCTCTCAAAAAAAAAAATAAAATAAAATAAAGTAATGATAGGTATACATCTATTATTATTTAATTTACTGATATTTTCCAATACAAAACTACTAATCTAAAAAACAAAATTGTTAAGCATTTTAAGCATAAATTTAAAAGTCCCCATAAACTCAAATTGTACAATAGGTTAGTACAATTCTAATATATATCTATAATTCAATACAGGGATAGAAAGTTAGAGATAGAACTACGTCCTCAAACTAATTCCACATATTAATGATTACAAGCTTTGGACAAATCTTCACATAGAAAATATTAAGTCACTGTAGTTGTCAAAATAATGGGCTACATGCTATTTCTCAGTTCCTATTAAAAAGTATGTTTTAGAATCTTTGCTAGAAGTATATTTTTCTTGCTCCTCTATTTTTTTATAATAGCTTCATTTCAAATTCTACTCCTTTGTCTATCCCCCAAAACTGTTGCACAACTTTACAGGATGTCTCCTTTACAAATTCAGTATATAATATCAAACTAGGTATCAGATAAGTTAATTTTGAAAATTTACAGAATATGTACTAAGCCCTCTGCATTCATTATATAATTTAATAGTACCTATGGGAGAAATTTAAACAGGAGGAAACTGAAGCTTAGATTAAATAAATTGTCCAGGTTAACACAGTTTAAATAAGTGGAAGGACCGGAACTTGAACCCATGTGTATATTACTAGGAAATCTTTTCTCATAAATCTTCAGCATATTGTTTTATACTTAAAAACCAGTTAGCTTAAAAAATATTTTTCACAAAGATTATCTAGGGTTTATCTCTCTTGAATTCACAATACCCTTGAGAAGAAGATTTCTAAGTATTTAACCTTATAAGCCCCTTTCCACAACTTCACTGAAAAAAGAGCAGGTAACTGAAGCGGCGGAACTAAAGGATGACACTGACTTTTTTTTACTCCAGGGCTATTATCACAACTTGCACAGAGCCACTTTTTTCATTAAATACAACTCACTCTTCTTCCCTTCCCTTTCATATCTTGATGATATCCATACCTATTAGTGAACGTATGTTGCGAAAATAAGTTGGTCACTGCCTGAAATAAAGTCTATCTGAGGTTTATGTCTATTCTGTTGACCATGATTGAGATGATTATTATCAATGTATATTTGAAATACATAGTACATAAAGTCAGAAAGAGCTATGACCTGCAAGAGCTTTTTTAAAAGGAGTGTGATCTCCTTGTCTTTCAAATACTCATGCAATTAACAATGTACTAAGTACCTATCAGGTTCTTCAGCATCCTAGTGCTGAAGTCCTAACAGTAGAGACACTGTCCTTGAACTCTTAGGAGTGTTAGGGCTTACTAAGGAACAGCCCAGCAAATAGTAATAATACAATGTGCTAGAAGTGAAAAGAGGAATGGAAAATAATTGTCTAATAGTCTATAGGACTGAGTGGCTAGCTCTGTTTAGAGGTAGAAAAAGCATTCTTGGGTGGTGATAATATATAAAGGCAATGAAATACAAGAAAGACCTCAGAGTTAGTGACCAAGAGGAGTCAGGGGCCCTAACACAAACACCCTTGTGTGCCATTTAATATTGGACTACAGCACAATTCCCTAATGACTTTAAGATTTCTACATGTAACTGTTACGGGGTATGTAGTGAGGACTTGATAATAGGGAATAATGTAGTAACCACAATGTTGCTCATGTGAAACCTGAGCATAAAATTGTATATCAATGATACCTTAAAAAAATTTTTTTTACATGTAATACTCATAAACTGATAAGGCTAGTCTCAGAAATGCTTTCCAAGCTTCACATCACCTGTTTTGTGCATGTGTGAACTGTGTATATCAAAGCTCTTTTTCAGATTCAACTTTAGTAGCATTAAACCACCAATTCCTGTTGCTAATCTCCCACATTTCATCAGTGGTCTAAATTACCGCTTTCTTAAGTTTCCTAAAATTGAGGAAATTGTGAAGTAAAACTGCATATTCATTCAACCGCTTTCATATTGACATTTTCCTCTTTAGTACTCCATGCTTTCTAGCTGGTTTTCTCTTTCCCATTTTGGTTTCACCCAGACAGGACTGGTTTGAACTTCCAGGGTACTTAAGGAATTCTTATTTAGTGGAATGTCACCTAGGCAATGAAGCAACACTGCTTATGTTTTTCTCTTCTCTAGAAATCAGGAAACCTCACTCTGGAGCAAATTAACAGATAAAACTGTATTTATATCAGTAGCAGGCATGACAACATAAACATATCATATTTTGAACTTACTTATAAAAGTATTTTGTTAAATTTCTATCTGCTCTAGAATTCTAACCTTTTGTTTCCCCTAACAAGATCAGTTTATTGTAGAGAATTTAGAAGACAGAGAAAAACAAAAATAAGTCTATCACATTCACTACTCAAAGATGATTCCATCATCCTTATTTTTCAGCTGTCTTTAATGGATTTTTCAATTAGTGATTAGAAAACTACAAGGTTTAAATGAGAAGGGCTTTTCGGATTAAGAAAAAGTCTAATTTAAAGTTTAAAAATCAAATTTGTAATTTCTGTAAGGCCTTTCAATTTAAAAGAACCAAGGGACTTTCTGAGTTTGCAGTATAAACAAAAGAGTTTAACCCAAAACTGAGTAACACTCTTCCCTAAAGTACATTGTTTGAGGTCAAAACACTGGTCACTACATATAAAATGGAAGTACACTGGATTGGGCAAAAACCTGAGCAAAATAATTTCTGTATTTTCACAAAATACTGTGTCAAAATCTGAAAAGGTCACTTGGCCTTTTACAAGTGGGGGACAGTGAAAAAGGGATACAACTGATAAGTTTACCACTGATCAAGGAACTGACTGGGAGTAGCAAGAAGGAGGTTAGGGAGAAATGGCAAAAGAAGGATGTCAAAGGCAAAAAATCAAGTCAGCAACATCTCGACTTACCCTCTTTAAATTGATGGTCAAATACATTCGACATAAGTATATTTCCAGCCCAATTAGTTTCTGAAGAATTACTTCCCTTTTAGGAAAGACTAGTTACTTTTCCACGAGCTAGCCTCGAATCTACTGCAGATCACGACACTGCAGATCACCCCATCTTTCAACGCCTCCCCATTCAATCGAGACTGTCGCATTTACCAACACCTCCTGATTTGGACCTAGTATATCTTTATTCTTTCAACTGTCCTCTCCCTTCCTAACTACAAAATCAGAGAAGAGAAAGGTAATAGGCCTACTTTTACCCTTCCAGTCCCATCCTAAGCATGTGGAAACATATAGAACGCCTCCCGCACGGGTGTCAGATAAAAACTCAGAATTACTAGCAAAGCACATACAGAAACAAGCTTTACAGTGACTTCGCATTGAGGGCCACATCAGAGACATTCCCTCCCAAGCCAGTCTCACCGGAGACGCCTCTGCCTCCAGGGTTTTTCCTACCTCCCCGCTCCCCAGCCCCGGGCGGAAGGTAAAGACTTGGTGCAGGGACTCTACCAAAGAAAGGGCTTTGGGGAATGGGACTTGGGGGCTACTACAGACCCGGGGGAACTGCTGAACCAATCTCGCTACCCTAAGCCACAAAGACTCAGACTAGGGAACCATGATGGCCGCACGCACCCCCAACCCGGGAAAAGGTGGACGCACATCTCAACCCCTAGATTGCGGAGGCGACCGCAGAGTAGCGGGGAGGAGGCGGGGGTCAGTATTGGAGAAATGAGCTCCTTGCCAGTGCAGGATGACAGCGGAGGCTGCCGTTCATATTCTCCTTTCTCTTCCTCCTCCCAACCCTTCTCCTATTCACACCAGCCGCGGTTACCGGTCGCCACTCACCTGCTGGGGCGCGAGGTGCAGAGTCAGAACCGATCGGGAACCGGAGGCTCTGTCACTGCGGGAGGGGAAACCTTCAGCTGCAGACTGAGGGCGGGTCCAGGTCGTCACGTGACCTAGAGCTCCGCCCTGTCTACCCCGGCCCGGCGCGTTGCCATCTCGGAGGGTCTATGTTTTTACAGATCGTTTGAACATTAATTTTCTTGTAGTTAAATTTTTTTTTAAAGGCAACAAAATCTTTCACAGAAATATGCTACAAAGTGCAATGTAAAAGGCGTGGATGGAACGGGTTAAAGTGCATTACTAAGGAAGTGACGTTTACGCTACTGTTTAGAGGCCGGAAATGGCGACGGAGTTCTGTCCGTCTGGGGCCCGCGGTAAAATCCCAGGCTTAAAGGTTTGGGGCAGTCACGTGACCTCAAAACTTGAATCGTGCTGGACGGAAGCCAAGTTATGCAGCCACTTGTTAATTATGTTTGCCTTAAAAATACCTCATTTGCTTGCGTCCTCCACAGACTTCGCTATATTTATAAGAACCAGTTTTACAATGTCCTATGAGGAGACAGAACATTTGAAGGTCATTCTGAAGACTACCAACTGGGAAGAACAGGGTCAGGGAAAATTGAGCTTGTTAGAGCGGGAGAGGAGAGAGAGGGGTGGAAAAATCCGGATTTTACCGCCAGGGCCTACCGGGCAAGCCCACAAGTAGTGTCGCAAGGGACGGAAAGAGGAATATGACGCCAGGGGGCACAGCCCAGTAGAAAGACACAGGTTCTGAAGTTGAGGGGGGAGGGCGAAGGTGCACTGCGGCTGCGCGCGAGGCGGCTGACGCGCCGGCGCGCAGAGGGGGTGGGGTGAAAGGTCGCAGCGCAGCGGCGGGTCTGGCTGGTGGCGGCGGCGGGCGGGAGCCGAGTTCCCGGTGTGCACGTGTGGAGAAGCGACGGCACCAGCGCGGCGCCGAGAGACACTCCGACCGTCTCCGGAGACGCAAGGCCGCGCTCGACTCTCGCAGCCTCCGTCACCCGCTCAGCTCCCTGCCCTCAGCGAGGAGGCCGGCTTGTGGGTGTTGAGTGGCTCGAGCTTGAGGGCACGGAGAGCTCAGGGCGGCGACGACAACGGCGTTGATATCCTTCTTAACAACGGCCTCTGCAGGCGGGGAAGATGAAAGGGTGAGGAAGGGCAGCGGGGCTGGGCCCGGCAGGCAGGGAAGAGGGTCTGCGAAGGCGGGGAGAGACACTGGGCGAAGACCTGGCCGAGGGAGGTTTCTGGGTTTCTCTGCTCGTCGAGGGGGCGGAGGCTCGGTGCGGGCTGTTGGCGCGCTGCAGGGCCAGCAGAGACAGAGACCCGGGAAACCCAGATTTCGGCCTGGAGGAGGAGTGTGGGCTGAGTGGAGACTAGGAGTTGAGGTGGGCAACAGGGAACAGCTTTCCTGAGGAAGGAGGCTGGGGTCTCCGGCAACAGGGAACAGCTTTCCTGAGGAAGGAGGCTGGGGCCTCCTACCCGGGAGCGAACGGCTTGAGCTACCCGGCCGGCCACCACAAGTGGAGTGGTCTGGTTGTCTCAGATACAGGCTCAACACCGGCAGCGGAGGTCTTTGACATCTTCCCGTTTTATTCTCACTTGGGAGCCGTGCAGAACCTTCTGGAGGGAGAAGGAGTTGGGGGGGGGGAAGCGTGTAGATGGGTATTAAGAGCTAGTGACTCAACTGGATTTGGGTTGGGTCAGAGCGAGTGGAGGAGGGGGAGAGCGTGAGCTCTTTAGTCTTGGGGTGCCAGAATGTTTAAGGAAGTATTGTTGATCAATAGGTGGAGCTATTGCTTCAGTAGTTTACTATTGCCCCTGTGCTGTGAGGGGGCGGGGTTCGGGGGTGATCCATGGAGTAAGTTTTCTTCTAGTGATAGGCAAAGTTAATATTCTTCATTCTTGCATAAAATTAGGTATTATTTTGGTTCGACTACTTCCATTTGGATGTCACCATACTGTTAAATTACTTACTGTTACAATATAATTACATAACACGGTGTTTTAAAAATCTGACTAAATTAGCCGTTTTGGGGCTTGCCTTTAATCCTATTTCTTAGAGAAAAAAAGTGCAATCTTAAGGGAAAGTTTTCCGAGATGCCTGAGGTTTTTTTCCCTATTTTGTATCAAGTTAAAGAATTGTAAAGCCTTTCAAACTAGTGGCCCTTTTGAAAAGTCAGTCTGCCAAAGTAATCTCACACTGCCTAAAACAAGGCTCTAAATACTGTCTCGGTGTATTTATGTGTTTAAGGTTGGAGAAGAGATCCAAGAACGCTTAATTTGGTCTTAGGTCTGTAACATTCCTGACACTGATTCTGCTTTTAATATTGGAAATTTATTCTAATGTTGAATTGTATGCTTTGTATTAAAGTTTGGAAATCATGAAGAGATTTTAAGCTTACCTGCATTGCACTGTTTCACATCAAGTTCTAAAGAGTTCCAGTCAGGATACTAATTGAGGGGTATGGGAAATATTAACTGCACTGGAATCGTGATCCAGGAAGTTTGACTATTTTATATGTGATTCAATATAATTTGGTAGATTTTTCTTGAGTATGGATGCTGTCTCTTACTTTTATATTCCCGTTGGCACTCAGTATTTGTTCTGTTAAAGTAACAAAAATGAGGCTGAAGAATTCTCACTCGGTGCTGAGGCTCTGCATAGATTTTTTAAACGATGGCCTCCAAGAGATTATTCTGGATGTTTATGTACAAAATCTTAGGTCTAGTTCAGTTTTGCTAGAGTGTAATATGCTTTCTGATACCTAACTTGGGGAGAGAATTGGGGCCAAACAGTAATATTTATAGCCATCCTCAATTACTGTACTCATGAAGCAAGTATCTTTATTTAAGTGATTATTTATGTGTAAATAACCTGATGCAGGCAAATCCCCAGAAATGAATAACTGGACAAACTAACAGGAAATTTATAGTTACTGAATTTGGACATAATGCCAGCAACTATGCTGAAATGAAGAGTCCTGAAGTCTAGCTCCTATCGCTCGCTTCATATGCTTGGGAGCTTAAAGTTGTGGTACCTCAATGGTAAACTTTAAAGATGATTTCACAGGAATAGTCTTTTTAACTTCCCAGATGTACTAACTCCCAGGTGAGATGAGACTTTAAAGAACCTCTAAGTCTTGTATTTAAGGCACTGACCAAATGAAGACAATAGGCATTACTTAAAAGATTTTGAATTCAAAGACTTGTATCTTTGAATACACAGTGTGGTCAGCGTTACAGTTCTACCTGTTCATTTGGATAGGCCTGTGAAAAATCAAACAAGTGGTCCTGATATATCGTTTTTGTTTGAAATTTTATTTGCTAAGTGTTTTATTGTATATTGAGCTAACTGAACTCTAATGTTGAATAGAAATACCTAAAATTAGAAACAAATGCAGAACTCCAACTCTAAATCAATCTAGTTAAATATTTTTATGGCTGCTTATATTGCCTATCATTTTGAAGCTTTTTAATCTTAACTGTTTATCTGGTTTTTCTTTATGTTTTCATTTACTTTCTATTAGTACTAAGACATTCCATTGTATTGGCGTCCATTTGCCTTCCCTTTATACTAGATAAATCTTCAGTTAATTGCATGTATTTATATGCATAGTATAGAAATTTGAGATACGTTATTTCCTTTGTACTAAGATTGCTTGTTTTTATGAACTAGGGACATTGTAGGTTGGATTTATGGATAGGATAGTGAGCTGATTATTTTTAATCTATTGTTTCCTTTCTAGGGAAGGTGCTATTCAAGCAAAAAGACCATAGACACACGTGACTGAGATGGCAATATAATTAGTTGATATAATAGAAAGTAAAACTGAGTCCATTTACCCTGCAAATTTATTCTAATAAAAATGAATTTAACAAGATATGAATACATGTGAACAAAGATGGGAAAGTAGATGGAGATAATACATAGTAAAGAACAGTATAGTTTACTAATTGAAATGTTAAAAGATTCTGCAGTCAGAAAGGAAGGAGTATGTTGAAGAACTCAGAATAATGGTTACCTCTGATAGCTCAGGAGACTTAGACTGGGAGGGGGCACATGGGAGGTTTTTGAAGTGTTCGGTGTGTTCTGTGTCTTCACCTTGGTTATTGATTACATAGTTGTGTATATATGTGTTAAAAATCATTGAGCTATAAGAAGGATTTGTGCTGTTTATCATATGTATCTTATACTTTGGTAAAACAGTTTTTTGTTCTTAAGGTTTTATTGTTGTTTTTGTCAAAAAAAAAAAAAAAAAACCAGTGAGGCCGAAATAGAATTTGGGAACTTCTGTAAACCTGCAATTTATACTCCTTGCTTCTGTGTAGCCAGTAATTTGTGGGATGTTGATTGAGATACTGAGTTTGTAATGTCCACTTGCTGTGTTGAGATGAATTCATATAAAATATAACTCACCTGAACCACAGTATTTTTTTAAAAAGCAGTATGTCTTAGCTATAAAAGAAGGTAAACTATAATATATGTATTTATTTCAGTATGTAAACAGTCAGTACAAGTAAATCATACTGTCAGGTACTGGCATCTGTCTGTAAACAGAAGTGCTGTATGATTCAGAACGTGTATCTGCTGTTGGCACAGATTTGCACCTTGGTGACTAATGCTGTGTTGCCATCAGTGCTGTGATTTCTTCCCAAAATTGTGGACAACTGTTGGCAAGACTCTGAAGGAAACAGAGAATAATCAAAAATTTCTGGGTTGTGAAAGATTTTTAAAGGCCATACATATAAAGCATTGTCTTTCAAAGCCAGTGCTTTTGCCAGACCTAGCTAATACCTGTATTCAAACTCACTTTCTATGTCTTCTCTTCTGGTCTGTGGAAATCTTTCTGACTTCTGATTTACTCTTCCAAGTATTGGCCAAGGCTTCCAACTTTGTGCCATCTGAAAAGATAACACTTTGTCAATCATTTAAATGGTTGTCCTTTTTTTTTTTTTTTTTACGAAGTACAGCCTATAGAAACTATTAGAATACCAGTGGTGACCAATAGAAACTTTTTTTTCATCATAGAAATGAGAATTTTATGGATTATCGTTTAATAAGTACAAAACTAAGTATGTTTGGAACAAATATGTGAATCTGCTGTTAATCTTATGAAATATTAAATACAGGTCAGATGTTTCCAAGGAAAATTAACATCTGTATTGAGATGTACCGTCAGTGTAATACATTGGCTTTAAAAGATTTGGTTTGAAAAAAAGGTTTAAAAAAACAGTGAGTCATTGATTTTTATTTTGATTACATGTTGAAATGATTTCACCTGTTTGTGTTTGCTTTGTTAACATAGATATTAGAAAGTTTGAAATTACTCATGTGACTTGAATTGTATTTCTATTGGACAGTGCTGTCCTAGAGCCTGAAAAAACAAATCTGTATAAAAGGTCTTCCCTTGGTATCTAGTTACCAGATGGTAAATGTTTCTAAATGTTTCATCTTGTGTGCCAACAGGTTGTGTGTGGCTATTTATGCCTGTGGGTGAAGAATTCTGATGCCACTCCTGGTTTGGGATTAAAATATTGTAATCAATTACATTGTCTTACTGATGAGAAAGGAATAATTAGAAGTTTTTATTTGCCTTTCCTGAGCTAGTGCAACCTATATTCTACTTGTATCAATGCTGAAGCTGTTCTTAGGGAAAACCTTGTTTTCCAAGGTGAGAAGCTTCTCTTCTTAGTCCTAAATAGTGCTATAGTGAATGCTTGCTTGTAAAACTACTTAACACACATCCTTAAGTATTTTTCTGGATAATTCCCTAGAAGTGAATTGTTTTAGATCAGAAGTATTGGCATTTTTTTAAAGCTTGATATTCGTTGCTAATGACCTTCAGAAAGATGGCAATTTATACTACTGGCCGAATATGAGAATGCCCTTCTCTTCCCCAAGAGCTGATGGAGAAGGGAGGGGCACCTGCAGAAACCTTGAGGAAATAGAGGAAAATGTTGTGGCTGCCATTTCAGTTACGGGTGGTATAAATTGTCTTTGTTGGGGATGAGTGGCATGTATTAAAGTTTGTAAAGTGATAGAAATAACTTTCTTCACAAGCTGGTTTTGAGGATATCACATACAGCCTTAACTCTAGTTTCACTTTGCTGATTAGGTGATAAATGGTATTTCTTTTTTTTAATTTAG